TTATCTGCGGAAAGAAGTTGAGATATTGAGGAGTAAATCCCATTGGAACAAAGCTTACTTTTACTTGTGGGATGAGGTATGCTTCAATCAATTTTCCCACTGATTATCGATAAGATATGTTTTTACTGTGGTAATTGCAACATTCTATACCATGCTATATCTCATGATCCATCCTTGGTGTAGTTAATCTGTTGTTTTACTTGAAATTACTTATTGACAGCTTTCTTATTACCATTCAAATTTTTTGGCAGCCACTGAATATGGAGCACTTTGACAACGTTCGCAAGATGGCCAGTGAAATTTACGCATATGCCCCAGATGCTCGTGTTTTGACTACTTACTACTGTGGTATGATTTCTTCTTTTTTTTTTTGTGTAATTCGCATGTTTTAATTAATTCTCTGTTTCTCGATTTTTACTTCTATTTTCCGCTGGGGTTCTGTTTTATTGGTTCTCATGGCTTTGTCTTCCTGTTGATATGAGCTCCAAAATTGGTCAATGGTGAACCTAAATGTAGTTTGTATCAGGTTAATCAGTATCCCACACTATGTTTATATGCAGCCCATAATATTAGTTTATTGTGTAACGTTAATTTTTAAGCAGTTTGCACAATGGTCCAGTAGTTGTTTGATATGATTTATTACAGAGCTTATGGATATTCATTTTTGTATGTTGATGAAAAGGGGACTGAACTCTGCTAGGCTAAATCGTGGCTATGAATTAAAGTTCATAATTTAACAATGCTTTAGCGATTGTCAAAAAAAGAAAACAATGCTTTAGCTACTTGAGAAGTTTAGTCAAATAATCCTACTCTTTTTTTGTAGGACCGGGTGATGCACCTCTTGCTCCGACACCTTTTGAATCTTTTGTCAAAGTTCCAAATCTTCTTCGACCCCATACTCAGATATATTGCACAAGGTAAATTGATCATTCAATTTCTCTTAGTGGCTGTAATTTAATCATTCAAATAAATTGCCTTCGCTTACTTGGGTTTTGTGATTAATCGGATGACAAGATCTTAACCTTACCGATCTTTAATTTTCATATCGGGTAGGTGTTGTGTGTTTGTGGTGTTTGTATATCATCTGTCAATTAATCAAAAAATCACATCCTTTGTCAATATATTTTGAGCAAATACGTTTTCGGTCTTAAATTCCCCTTTTTTTTTCCCCTTATCACTCCATTCACCTACTTGGATAGACATGCAGGCAAGTAATTAAGTATATAAATCTATGAGTTAGGATTGTCAGATGAATTTGGGAACCTATAGAGAATTCTGTTTTCAACTAGGTTCTCGTAACTCAGTGTTAAATCATGGTTTAATATTCAGTGAGTGGGTGCTTGGAAACCGGGAGGATTTGGTGAAGGATATTGTTGAGGAATTGCAGACAGAGAATGGTGAGGTAGGGTCTCCATTAACCCTATTATTTCTTCTTCAAAGAATATTATCCAATGACCCAAGTCTATGTTATTCTCAATGAAGTTTGAAACGTCTGTCTGGTCCATAAACCTGAAGAATACTTAACTGAACAGATATTAAGAATAGAGTTTGGTCAATATAGTTAGTTAGTTACCATGAGCTATGAAAAAGCTCGCACATGTACATGAATTCATCTAGCATTACTGCATTGGTAGTAATGGAATCATCATATGTTAATCAACTGAGTCTGAAGTTCATTTACCACTGTTCACACCTACTCTATGATCAATGAGTAATGGAATGGTTAAATTTGATTTAAGGTCATCTTCATGATGTGCTCTTTAGTGGTAATGTATGCGTTAGCAACAAGAATCATAAAGAGGACTTCTCTTGCTGGTGCAGGAATGGTGGACGTACATATGCCTTGGACCTTCAGATCCTCACCCAAATTGGCACCTGGGGATGCGTGGAACACAGCAACGGGCAGTGATGTGGCGTGTGTGGAAAGAAGGTGGAACCGGGTTCTTGTACTGGGGTGCAAATTGCTATGAGAAGGCAACGGTTCCAAGCGCAGAGGTTATTTTTCTTATCCTTGGTTCCTTTGTTAATGTTTCTTGATTGGTTGCTTCATGATATTATATAACCAAATGAATAGGTAAAGTTTAGGCGCGGTCTTCCTCCTGGTGATGGAGTTCTTTACTACCCCGGTGAAGTTTTCTCATCTTCCTCAGAGCCAGTTGCTTCACTTAGGCTAGAGCGCCTTCTTAGTGGCTTACAGGTACGTCAACTTTACAGTTTTACCAATCAGATAACAACGAGGAACTGTTCCAATTGGCTTATTTGGAGAATGAATCAGGATTACGAGTACTTGAAGCTGTATGAGTCAAAATACGGAAGAGAGGAAGCGATGGGGCTATTGGAGAAGACAGGGGTGTACACGGGGCCGGAGCGCTACACTTTGGAACATAGACCGATTGATGTATTGCGGGGAGAAGTGTACAACACATGTAGACCATCTTGAGTAACCAGATCGTTTTGTATCTATAGACACTCTCGGTTAGCCCTAAGTTAATAATAAAAGAACATAAGAAGAAAACTCTAACAATGTCTAGATTACCAGTACGGATTATCTGATCTGAAAAAGGTTAATTAGTATGAAAATAATAAAATAGATAGATGCGCTTTGTATTTCTGACGCTTAAGTTGTTGGGAAATACTGTATCTGAAAAAGCTCATTTTGTGTGGTGCTAGGTTAATATCATTCATCATAGTCACGTATGAATGGAAGGGCACAAGACATAATCATCCAACAAAATGATATAAAACCCACAATGACTAAAGATTCACCACATTTAAGTTTGGCTAGATATGTCATTCATCAAACAGTAGCAGCAACAGCATACTCAAAAAAAGTTGATAGGGGAACTGTAAGAACCGCGTCACACCACTCGACCTTCCCCCAAATCTCTTCACTGTTGTGTCTTTCAAGCGCAATCACCACACACCAAATCATCTTGTTTTCACTGCCACACTCATCTTTGTCCCACAAAACCGCCATCTTTCCACCATAATCCGCCAATTTAACAAAACGAGAACCAGCAAACTCATGATGCAGTCCTCTCAAACCCTTAACTTGTTTCCACAATCTCACCTTAATGTCATACCATGTTAATACTCCAAGATCATAACAGTAAAAAACATTCTCAATCACGCAATTAGAAAACCTCGTCCAAGACTTACCCATCTCTTGTTCAACCAATTCCCATTTACCTCCCTCGGGATCGTAAGCCAAAACCTTATTCCCGATCATCAGATACAACTTTCCTTCAATACATATACTTTTGGTTAGCCAATCCGCGTACTGCTCTAAGTAAGGGATGGGGACATAATCCCAAACTTGGGTCTTTGTGTCGAAAACCTTCATCGATTCCGAGGATTCTGATTCGCCTTTTATGGAACCTCCTGCTACATAAATCTTTCCATCAATGACACTAGCAGAAGGGAACACCATCCTCCCCACCTTTAAACTAGGAACCTCACGCCACGTGTGAGACCGACAATCTAGGACTGTTACGTTAGATGAACGTATGTATCCGCCGCCAATGTGGTAGATATTGGAACCAACCGCAGCGTGACCCGACAAGTGGGGAGGAGTATATTGTGATGATGGGATTGGGACCAAAATATTGCCACTTGATGACTGCTTCTTACTGGTGTGATGAACTAGGGTTCGGTCAGGTTTCCGGCAGAGAGTGAACCAGCGAGTGTTAGCTTCAGGAGGGATGTATAAACATACATAGAGACAACTCTCGGTGCGGCATAAGAGAGATCGGGCCTTGTAAAGCTCTGGTGAAGCAAGGAGAGATCGAAAGCTCTTTGAGACTAAGGAGAGAGTTGGATAGTACAATTTCGAGACGCGTGCTAAGAAAGTAACTAACACATCATCTGGAAGTGAAGGATTTGGGGTCGATTCCGGTGACAACTTAAAAGGTGGTTTCTTCGTCGTCGTGATCGTCTTACTCTTTCTCTTGGACGACATTATCGGGATCATCGAGACGAAATCTACTGACAAAATTTATCATCTCTATAAAAAAAAACACTTCTCGATTTGTGCTACCTCTTATTGGGCCTACGATTATTCCTTTGATATGGCTCATTTTGTTAAAATTTTGGCCACTTACTTAAGTCCAAAGAAACAAAAACTCCAATACAAAGAAGTGAAGCACTTTTAAGGCTTTAGAAAAGTTTTAAAGTTTTTAAAGTTTTTATTTTGTCAATCAAACTTTTTTGGCTTTAAATAATTTTAAAGCCTTCAAAGTCCTTCTCTTTTTTTTTACTCTTTGAATTCAATTTTTTGTAAAGCCACGTAAACCTGACTTTAAAAGTAAAAAGAATAAAAATTAATAGTTTTTCTTAGTTTCTTTTTCTCATTATATGAAAACCTCTAACAAAATTTATTGGAAAATTAATCTTAAAAATGTATTAACTAATTTATAATTGATTTTTTTTTCTGTTCTTTTAAGATCCATTTATGTATATAAAAAAAAACATAAGATATTACATTTGATACAAAATGGAGAAATATGAATGTATAAAAACTTTTCATAAATTTCTTTGTATGAATTCCGTTGTTATATCATAATTTAGGTTTATATTCACTGTAATTTATTTTATTTAAAATCATAAATTTTTACAGCCACAATTTCTACAGTTTTGTTGTTACCAATCATATTTTAACAATTAAAGTCTCTAAAGTGAAAGTCTATGCAGTCAAAGTTTCTAGAGCCAAAGTCATTACAGCCGAAAGTAACAGTTGTTACCAATCGGCCCAAACTTTGTATTACAAATTGTTGTTGATACTAAACCAACCGAATTGTTTGCCCCAAAAAAAAAAAAACAACCAACCGAAAATTTGGGATTAACTTACACATATTTTTGCTAACAAACAAATAAAATAAAATAAAAAACATAAATTTAAGAACAACACGATTTCTTTTAAAACTCTTTTCAATAGAGTGAGGCTCCAATTCTTGACCTAACAAATCCTTATTATCTTTTATCTTTCTAATCTTGATTTTCATGGGATTGTAGTTCAATTGGTAGAGCACCTCCCTGTCAAGGCGGAAGCTGTGGGTTCTCACCAACTTTTTGCAATAATAGCTTGTTCAACAATATATCTCATTATACTACGATTGTCTCTTCTGTAATGTATATTTATTTACTTTCTGTCGACCGTATCAAAACGCGAAATTTCATATATATGAACAATTACCATTTACATGAAGTTTGAAAATCTAATTAATCTTTTCTATGCAAGAAAAAGAAATGAAACTAGAGAATTTGAAATTGTGGCCAAAGAGAAAGTTCGTTATGATGCTTACCGTCATATGATATATGAAGAACATAATGTGTTTTGATATAAAATGTGTTTAACACCCTAGACCACTGACATCCGAGGGAGAGGTATGAACTTGTAAGAACTCCAAGGTTGACTTGATGATACATGGTGAAAAAGAGAAATGTCAGAAGAAAAAAAAGAAGAGATTGTTTTACAATCTAAGAACACGCGGATAGATATTTACCTCGTTGCTCTGCCTAGTAGCTCGAATTCTAGGCATCTCGTCCATCTTTCCCGGGCTGCTCAGTTCCTTGATGCTGCTCTGAGTCTGAGAGATTAGTTCCTTGATGATATATGGTGAAAAAGAGAAATGTCAGAAAAGAAAAGAAGAAGAGATTGTTTTACAATCTAACAACACAAAGATAGATATTTACCTCGTTGCTCTGCTTGTTGCTCTGCCTAGTAGAGCGGATTCTACTCATCATCTCGTCCCGCACACTGCGGAGACCAAGGTTGACATCACTCAGAAATACATCGAGCTCGAACTGATCCATACCGTCGAGCTCTTTACCAATCATTCTCCTATAATGAGAGGACAAAAGGAACCCCCAAAATATGAGTGACAATAGCAGAAAATTTAAAAGCTAGGGAAATGTAAACATACTGGTTCCAAAGCACCAGTCTCTCCTTCTCGCTCTTCAACAACTCAATGCGTTCCACCAGATCTGTATGGTCCTGGCTATGCTCGAGCTCCTGTGGGGAATCGAGAGAGCTGTGTCCCCAGAAGAAGGTTAAAACCTAGATGATGATCAAAGAAGGCCTACAAAATCAAATTAAACCTTTTACCTGAGCCGGAGTTGTCTAGCCTTGCGCCTAAACTCTCTTCTTCTCTTGGACAAAAGAAATTGACGGGCGTGTTCCTCTTTCGCCATTTGTTCAACCCATTCTTCCCCCATAACTTGGAACTCTGCCATCTTAATTGGGGGAAAACGAGTACTCAGAGGTCAAAATGGATATAACATATATATATATATGCATATAGAAAGGGTAAAACTTTGAACTTTATACCTGACTGACTGTATATTGACAAAGTGCCTGAAAGAAACACACACACACAGGGTTGTTTTAAGACATAAACAAATAATGCGAGTTGACAGGAACATAAGATGATTTGATTTGAAAATACCTTTTCCTGTTGCTCCATTACACGGCTTAGTCCCTCCCTTAAAATACTTACAAGTGATTCCAGCTCGGTGTAGCTCAGACCCTCGACACCGTCACCATTCAATTTCCTGGAATATATATATAGATTCAATAAGTTGAAGAGATTAATAACCAAAAACGGGATGATTTCAGGAAGAGAGTCCTACTCGTTAGTAATTTGTAACTGCACGAGTTCGGCTCCCTGCAAGAACACACAAGAGACCTTTTTTTCTTCTTCTCAATTAACATGCGTTGAAAAGAAAAGGAGTTACATACCAATTCTTCGATAACTTGTATATATTTGAGCCTTTGTAGTTTAGCTCTGTTGAAGAACAAGTAAGAGGGAGATCATATTCAGATTCTAGGAACAATAGCTTTTAATTTAGACCTCTAATCAGATTTCTCTGATATTACCTGGAAGATTTGGACATCTTGCTCTTCTTCTTCTTCTCCTTCCGTTTCCCCATTCCTCTCCCCAATTTCTCACAAACCCTAGTTTTATAATTTTATTAAGAAAAGAAAAAAAAAGAAAGAAGAAGATGGGCCTGTTGGTTCGGCCCGCTCTTTCTTTGCGGCCTTGTCCTCTAGTCTATATAATCTTGAAAAAGACTGGTTGCTGCAATTATCAAAAAATAAACAAAGTGAGCAACTAAAGAAACCACACAAAACAGATAGATCAATTTGTATAACAAAGTGAGCAACTCGCACGTAACCAAGATTGCTAGTTTAGTTGGCCGTATAATAAGAAGAGGCAATGAGAACGACTATAACAAAGGAAGACTCTATAACCATTAATCAAAAGAGAGACACGCAAACATACATAGCTAGATTTCAATAAACCATTAATAACAAAGTGAGCAATTCGCAATGCATAACCAAGATTGCTCGTCAAAAATAGTGGATATATTTGTGACTTTGTCCTGTAACACCACAAATCTCATCCAAAAACTGAAACTTCGAAAAGAGTAAGAAAAGTTAAAAAAAAAAAGAAGACATCTTCTTAGTAGAGAACCAATTTCACTCTTTTTTTTTTATGCCTAAAATCGAAACGTGGAGTGATAAGCATCATAAACAAGAAAACAATTCACGATTATCATCTCATCTGGAGATCTTCAAAATTCGAATGGAGATCTGTAAAGTCTCAATACCGTACATTATGCGGATTTAAATGTTCATGCCTTGATGGTGACACAAGAATGACACTAATCTATAAATTTACTAGGTTACATATTTTGGTATGATCAATTATGACGATAAGTTTGTTGATAATGAAGAAAGTGTAGCTCATCTATATCTTGTGACCTCAATTGCCCATGTGTGGATATTAGCTAGTGTACAAAGTTACAAAACGAGACAGAACGATTGTTTTTTTTTTTTTCTTATAAAAATTCTGTTAAGACCGTCTATTGTAGTAGTCTAGGATTTTTTCCGCACATGTATGTGTTTCCTGATTATATGACTTTAATCACTATCATAGTTCTATCGATTAGTGCTTTGATAGGTTGGATTCACAATACCTTAGATAATGATATGAATTAGCAAAGTCTCATTTGTTAATTATTAGTGGAGCGATTTTCTTATTTGTAAAATATTTAACAATTAATATTACGTACACGGACGACCACTCACGTTCAGGCGCATGCTAATGCCTCAACCATTAAGTAGCTCAAATATTGATCTTACATTAGAGTTCGACCACAATAAAAATAAAAAAATTAAATATAACTGTGCATTACTATGTTTTGTTTCTTTAATTTCCCTTACGACATAACATAACAGTACTGTAACTCTTCTTTTCTCAACAGTGTCAGTGTTTTACTCTAGTCATATATACATGGTTTACTCTGCATAGTCAAACTACTGCATGAGTTCTTTTAAATAAATAATTTAATGGGCTATATTTTTGGTAAAAACTAAATATATTAACGTTCACATATAAATGATAAGTTTACGTGTTAATTCTTCCTATAGATTTCTCCGCTATTTTTCTGTCATTACTATAAAGAGTATTCAAATTACTTATGGATTGAATAGAATCATTTGGGAAGGCGATCCATGTGTCCTAAACAATTTTGTGTTTGTTGGCTTACGCTGCAACGTTAGTGATGTGTCCACACCACCAAGAATCGTGACATTGTGAGAGCATTCGAAATTTCAAACTCAATCTTCTTAGCAAAAAACTTAAACCCGAAAATATATGATGTGATAAGTCTTGTATCATCTAAACAGAGATTTATCTTCAAGTGGATTTAGTGGAGTTAAACCACCAACATACAAAATCTAACTCAGCTTCAAGAACTATACGTATCCCTATGATAAAATAGAAAATGTATTCATGAATTTTTTTCTTGCTGTTGTAACAAATTGTAGGGACTTGTCCAAAACCAATATCTTTCGAAGTGCATGAATTTCTAGCTAATATGAAATCTTTCTTGGTCATGTAAGTTGTTACGAAATCCAATAAATATTTTGTTTTGTTTTTGTTTGCATGGGACAGCAATTCATTGCGAATGATTTTTCTACATCCACATAAACTTAAAGTGGAACAATCTTAGTCATTATGTTCCTCAAGCTTTCTATTTAGTTCGATTTTATAAGTTAAACTGTATTTATTTTTACTTATTTTTTGCTTATATTTTACTCTTTTTTTTTGCTCAGTTTTGTCAATTTATTTTTTCCATATCAAAAAATCAATCAGATGTCATGTAAACGCAAAATGCCAAAATCATTGTGATAAAACTGATTGAAAAAAATTCAACCAAATGTAATCTTCTCTTGCCTTTGTGGTGAGTCTCGTTAACAATTTAAATTAAATACGTATTTCATTGATGTGTTTTTTGCTTTTCTGATTCTTAAATTAATTTAGATTGATTAATTTGATGTTTGTAATTAACAGATGGACACAAGGTGCATTCCTCCTTGGACCTCGGGGTCCACCACCCCGTAAAACTCTCCATAAATACTTTCCGGTAAAAGATTTATGAAAACAAGACATCATGCATTGATTTGTATTTAAAAGTTCAAAAACATCTTAAAACAACACATAATCGTCAATCTAAGTTTATTCGCATTACTTACATGTGAAGGCAATCGATATTCAGCATCGTCTCAATGTTTTCAAAGAAACTCAAATGGATTTGGGTCTCCACCCCTACAAAATTCAAGAGAACATAAAATATACAATTCAAGTTTGGCTCCAGTCTTTACATCAGTTCAGATGCTCTCTCCAACAATCCCGGTCTATGCTTGCTGTGCCCTCCTCTGCTGAGATAATGAAGGTGATGCTTAAACTTAACCCAAACAAAGCCCCGTGACCTGATGGGCTAACTTCAGGGTTCTACAAAGCTGCTTGGGGATCAGTTGGACCTGAAGTCATTGCCTCTATCAGCCATTTCTTCCAGTCATCGTTTATGCCAGCCTCTACAAACGCCACTATTCTCTCTTTGGTGCCAAAAAGACCTGGTGCTTCAAAAATTGGGGACTTCCGTCCTATAGCTTGTCTCAATACCCTCTACAAAGTTGTCTCAAAGCTGCTTGTGGCCAGAATTAAACCCATCTTACCGAAACTTATCCTCCCGAACCAAACTGCTTTTGTGAAAGATAGGCTC